TTAAGTCTTAGCTAATCAATAAACCACACAACTAAACTAGGCCGTGAGTCCTTTGGGAAGAACGATACTTGGTCTTACCAAGTTTATTACTTGAACGATTCGGTCATACTTGCCGATTGAAAAACAAGTTTGTGACATCATATTTTGGTGTTCATAAATTTGTCCATCACCAACTCAACGCTGCTTCCGCCAAACTATCTTGAAAGAAATGAATAAGTAGTTTATCGTCGTATGCGTAAGCAGCCATTTTTCGACAATACATGGTCAAATGGTTCTTAGGGCATGTGTTTCCCTTGTATTTCTCAAATTCTGGCACCATAAACTTGTGTGGAATGGTCACTCCTTGAGCCAAACTCAAGCTTGCCGCGTCACCAAACCCGTAACTTTCAAACCCTTCTATGGCTCTCAGTCTACCTTCTAGAACTTCAAGTTTATCCTTCGCTCCTTCTAAGATCGCATGCAAAGTAACATCTTGTGCGACAATTGTGTGGGGAAACTTGGACATTTCATTAAGTTTTGCCTCAGTTGTGTGGATAGGCCCCTGGGTACTAATGGGAAGTACATTGCTAGTTACGGGAAAAGCCAAAGAAGTATGCTCTGCCTCTGAATGATCTCCGATAGGCGGTGTGTAACCTGGTGGTAGACCATACATTGGAAATGTGAATTGTGTGCCCACAACGTCATGTACTGGAGTGTGAGCATTATGATCAGCCTTTGCAAACGAAGTCTCTCCAGCGGTTTTCATGGCTTTCAACGCTTCTAAAATTTGACCGACTTGATCCTTTAGATGACTAATATCGGCCTTTACAGTTTGACGTTCCTCTTCCCAATCTTCCATAGCTTTGGCGTTTGCTCGAGTCTTATAAGGATGTCGTGGAAGTTTCGCCGTTGTTTTTTTCTTAAACTTTATACTGTTTTTATTAACTTGATCTCTAGGTCTAGCTATGTTGTTAAAGTGCTGAGGTCCAACTATATTGGTTGTAATCAGCAAGAGTTCTTCTGATATTATTGTTCTCTCCATATTTTTCTGTGCTTATATTGTCAAAACCTTGTGGTGATGGTTTGCAACAGAGTTTCCGGAGGAGGGAAAATTTTCTCTAATTTCTGATTCTTCTCCTCCGTCTACTGTCTTCTAATCCTTCAAGCAGAGGTTCTGTCGTTTTCTTGCTCCTAGTTCGAATTGCCCCTCCTGCATACACAAGAACACAAAACCCTAGAAAAGATTTGGTTAGCACAAAAAGATTAAGAGAAGATATAAGATTCAGAAAATAAAAAACAGAAAACAGAAAAAAAGAAAACAGAAAAAATAAAATAAAATCAAATCAAATAAAATACAAACAGAAAAACAGAAAACAGAAAAATAAAATAAAATAAAAAAATTCGAAATTTAAAAAATTAGAAATAAAAAAAAAAATAATATCAAGATAATTAATATCACACAAATTACCAGTTAAACCACGAGTCCCAGGCAACGGCGCCAAAAAACTGATGGACAATTTATGAAACCCAAAATATGATTCACAAACTTGTTTTCAATCGGCAAGCATGACCGAAATCTTTCAAGTAATAAACTTGGTAAGACCAAGTATCGTTCTTCCCAAAGAACTCACGGCCTAGTTTTAGTTATGTGGTTTCTTAATTAGCTAAGACTTACAGATAGATAAAATATTTGGAGTTTAATATGCAAGACAGAAAATAAACATGTATGAATGAAGTTTTTGATCAATGGCAAAAAGCAAAAGATAAACACTTTTCAATGATATTTAATGTATGAATATGTTGTTGGGGGTCAATTTCATCTTATCCACTCTCAATATTTTAGGAATCAACATTCAAATCATCATTGTTAATGCCACTCTCTAAAGTATCTTCTAGAAGGCTTCTCCCTAATCACGAGTTCATACAATTCCTAGCATTCCAATGATCAGTTCATAAGTGCAAGAGCTTACGACAACCAATATCATTTTTGAGAAAATTCCCGGATTTAGACTTCCCCGTACGTGCCCCATATCGAAAAAAAACCAATAATCATGCATCGAATGAGTTTAAACAATGCAAGCATTAAGCAAAGAGGAAAACCCTACTAATGATGAAAAGAAAGCGTAAGCCTTAATTAAAAGATGTAAAAAGATTCCATATATGAGAGTTTCACAAGATTACATTGATTCCCCAACAAACATCACAGTTTTAGTTCACCATATTCATGGTGAACCTAGATGAATTAACAATGAAGAATGAAAAAAAACCCTAAAAAGGTGAAGAGGAAGCCTCAGCATCAAGATCCTCCTTCAAAGGGGTGGAAGAGAGAGTGTTTGCTTCTTTCCAGCCAAAGATAACCTAACCCTAGAAACCCTAAAGCTTAAAATACCATTCGTAATTACAAAACTTGGTCCAAGCCCATTAAAAGTGCCGCTCAGCTGGTAATTACCGCTCAGCGGTAAATTACCGCTCAGCGGTAAGTGCGCGCGTCTTGTTTTCTCCCCTCAGCGGCCATTTTGCCCCTCAGCGGATCTCCCGTGAGTCCTGAGTGCCGCTCAGCGGTAAAAACTGCCGCTGAGCGGTGACTTCGGCTTCTCCTTTTGGCACTTTTTGATGTCTTTTCTGATTTTCATCTCTCCCTTCGTCACTTCTTTCACCAAATTCACCTTAAAACCTGCACAAAAACACTGAAAATCAAGCATAAACCTGTCCAGCTCTCTTATTTCTAAAAATTGAAGAAAAAAGCATGATTTCAAGCAGTTTCTAAGTAAATAAAGGTTGTTTTAGTATCAATTTTAAGCATGAAATACCAGTTTTTTCAACTGTTATCAGTAACCCGGGTGCTGTTGAACTTGTGGACTGTGGCAGGTGCTCCAGCCTTCCTCCCGCTGCTGTGTTGCTGGATTTTGTGGACTGGGTGCTTGGGGCCGTGGAGTGTTGTGTGGAACAGTTGAAAAACTGTTATTTTCATGCTTAAAATTGACACAAAAAGCAACCTTTACACTTAGAAACTAGCTTGAAATCATGCTTTTCTTCCTATTTTCAGAATAAGAGAGCTGTACATATTTATTATGCTTGATTTCTGTTTTTGTGGGAGGTTTTAAGGTGAATTTTACGTGAAAGAATTGAAGAAGGAAGAGATGGAATCAGAAAAGACACTCAAAAAGTGCCCAAAAAGGAAAGCCGAAGTCAACCGCTGCACGGCAGTTTACCGCTGCGCGGCACTCAGGAGTCACGGAGTCCGCTGAGGGGCAAAATGGCCGCTGAGGGGAAGAAACGACTCACGCATACCGCGGAGGCGATCTGTTACCGCTGAGGCGGCCTTTTATGGGCTTGGACTAATTTTCTATAAATTTACGAATATATATAAGCTTAGGGTTTTCCTGGGTTAGGTATCTTTGGCTGGAACGAAGCAACACCTCTCTCTTCCCCCCTGTGGGTAGATTGGGATTGTGACAGCTCTCCTCGTCTCTTTCTCGGGTTTTTCTATCTCTTTCATTCTTTCATTTTGTTCATCTAGGTTCACCATGTAATATATGGTGACTAAACTCTGTATGTTTTGTTGGGGAATCAATGTAATCTTTTTAGCTCCCATATATGGAATTTGTTTTTACATCTTTTTATTTAAGATCTATACTTTCTTTCATCATTATTAGTGTTTTTTCCCTCTTTGCGTAAGCTTGCAATTGTTTAACTCATTCGATGCATGATTATTGGTTTTGGTCGATACGGGCGCGTACGGGGAAGTCTAGATCCGGGGATTTTCTCTCCACTTCAACATTGGTTGTCGTAAGCTCCTGCACTTATGAACAACATAGGACATGCTAGGAATTGTAATGAACTCGTGATTAGTGAGAGCCTCTTAAAGGTCTTTTAGAGATGCTAACAATGATGATTGAATGTTGAATTCCTAAAATAATATGAGAGTGGAAAAGATGAATTGGAACCCCAACAACATATTCATCATCATATTTACATTGAAAGGTTTATCTTTTGCTTTTGCCATTATCAAAAACTTCATGCATACATATTTATTTTCGTCTCTGCATAT